AGAGAGAGAGAGAGAGAGAGAGAGAGGGAGAGAGAGAGATGAAGGAGAAACTTCAAATTTAATTAGAGCCTACAAAATCGGGGCTTTCAAATGGGAGCTAAGCGTCAACTACTCTCGTTGCTCGAATTAACAGATTCTTCTAAATTAACGGGAGCGTAATGGTGCAGTCGATCCACGAGATGAAACGGAATATTGCCAGGACAGCTTAACCGGGAGCATCGAGGTCAACGTCATGCGTAACAGCAAAGTCTACGTTCTGAACTTATTGCATCATTCTAGCGCGCGTGGCAATTTTTCTTTATATTTTTCAAAAAATGTTATGCGACAATATTTTTCAGAGAATTCTTAGTACGAGTGCGAATAGTTTAATATTTCAGTGACTAGTTATGATGTTTAGCTGTGCGAAGCCTTTTACTTTGTTAAATATTATTACGTTAAGCTCTTGCTTCTTTTTACATTATAATTGATCAATTGAAAGATTTTCGTATTTATTTGCTTAAAAAAAATTATAGTGATTTCATAAAAATAATTTCATTTTATTTAAATATGCCTGTTTAATTATTAATTTTAATTAACATTTCAATAGTAATAACTATTTAAGTTACTGTGGTTTTTATTTAATTTTATTTATTTTAATTATCATATTCTATACATTTTTACATGTTTGCCAGCATTTTGTTAAAATTTTTTTATTAAATTTATAAATAATAAGTGTATCGTAATGATTTATTGTATGATTTAGAATTTGTTAGACATTGAAATTTTTAATTTACAAGAGTAATATATAAGTATAATATATAAAAATTTTGATAGAAATATTCGAATTGAACGTGTAATTGTGATAATTTGTGCCCAATATAAAATGACAGAATTTGACTATGTGGTACACAAAAATTGAGAATTTTTGTATCACATGTAGATAAAGAGATAATAATTATATGTTGTCGGTATTATAGTATATATGGTACATTATGTACTTAATTGGAATCGTTGGAAGTAATTTTCGACTTCATTAAATGTCAAGGTTCATTCTATTTAAAAACTATATCAATGAGTATTAAAGTTATGCGCATTATAATATTTTTAAATCCAAATTATTACTATTTAATAATATTTCTTTTGTTGTATTTTATTTTTCCGTTAGTAAAAAATATATGAATGCACTAATATATTTTATATTACATTAAGCCCATATGCAATAGTTACAACAATATTTATGTATTTAGTACGAGATTTTAAAATCATTTTTATGATGTTAATGAAAGATTTAACATTTATTCTTATGAAATCTATTTACAGACTATTTACATAAAATAGAAACATATAATTATGCTACATAAAAATTGGTACTTAAAGTATTGAATTGATTGAGTTTTGAATTAATTTTCTAATTTTTGATCGATTAAAACGTAAAAGACGACGTATTACATTGTATAGATTAAACTTTTTTTTTTAATATCAAAAATAAGGATATGATTTAGAAAGTTTAATTCTGATAATTTTATCAAAGAAAGTATTGTTTTCATAATAGTTAATTTAATTTCCATTGCAAATTTTCAGTAATTGATATTATAAAAGGCTATTTATGCTATGGCCATTGGGCATAATTCCGCCTTTTATGTAGTATTTAATACAATGGCAAAAAGTCCTTAAAATCTTTTAATGAATAGTGCATCTATTACCTTTAGATGTCGGTATAATGTGCGATCGCGGTTTCACTAAAAATAATATTGCTTTCTTCATATGAATTCAACCTAAAATTCGTGTCAACATAATTAAATTGTGTAGTTAGTATGAAAGTATAGGATAATATTATGCATTTGAAAATTGTTCTAGAAAATTAAAGTTGTGGAAATTGTTACGACGAATGAGAGAAAGTATATTCCGAGGCTTGGCACAGCGTTAAACATTGAAAAATTCATCTATGATATTAGATTTTAATGAAATATATACGTATGACAATTGATGAAATCGTTTTTATCATCTTTATTTAATATTGATACTTTTTTACGTGAGATACATAAAATACGCGAATCACATATTTAAAGATATGTTTGATAACGATTCCTTATAAATATCTCATTCATTTACTATTTTGGTTATTAATCTCGCTGTTTAATCGCATGAAAATTATTTATTTTATAGTTAATAGTAGACATAAAGTTTATATATCATTAAAGGAATGTTATTTTTTGTAGAAGAATTTGAATATTATTAACAGATCCTCTTAGAAATTATCTTCAGCTTACGCAATAAATGCATGGTGCTAAAAATCTATTATAAAGATATATATTTTTATTACTTCAGGTATGATGTTTATATATGAAAATTAATAGGATTAAATATGTAATTTAGAAAAATTTTCAATCGTCATTAAATATTTATTGATTATATAAGTAAATGTATAGGATCGATTATTAAAATTAATTCTAAATATATTATTTTTGTATAAAATGAATTACCGAAAAAACATTCTCCTTATGAGATTGAGTAGAAACTAGTAGATTTCTGGGCGTCTATGTACTGAATCGTACTGAAACAAGATGTGTAAGTATGTACAACGCGTGTTACATATTATGATGGTATGGAACAACTCAAGCCGGTTATAATCGAGCCTCAGCTAAAGTACTACAATTTCAGGTATATGCGTTACGTATACCGATCTTCCTATAATTAGATATCTTCCTGCAGTTGCATGTATACTTTGCATAAAAAAAGTATCATATAAAAAAACTTAGCAAAATTGTGAAACTTGTGATATTTTCATAAGAATTATTAATCCAATAATGTCTCGTCTTTATCTATTAGATAGAGACGGCCCATAAAAAAAGCTTTTAGGAAATTTTAAATATTATTTCATTGTACAATCTGTAATAATGACATTTATCGATAATATATTTTAATATCACTTTCTCATATTCAAATTATAATTCTATTATGCTATTGATATTTAAATAAAATTTAATGATCAAGTAAGATATACGAATTATGTTGTGAAGTTTTAAATTTATTTGCAAATAATATGATTTTATTATTTAAATATTAAATATCAAATTGTATTAATGTATAATTTTTTATGTAATTTTTAGATAATAAAGGCAAAAACAAGACACCATATGGCAATATTAGCGATTACATCGTCCTATTGTCATTGTAAGATAGAATAATGATGATTTATGCATATATTTCATACATATTTTAAAAATGAACTACTCTTACTAAAATATTTGAAATCGACCACGATAACTACGGATTAATTATTTATAAAATCATATATATATATATATATATATATATATCGATACATTTAAAAATTATTATTATTATCGATTAATATTAAATTTAAATTGACGTTTTTTTAAGATAATATGTTCAATGAAAATAATTACATTGATAGTCTATTACAGTCTTTTTTTTTATTAACCTTTGACATTCAAATAACATAAACAATAAAATATTAAGATTTTATTGGCTTTACACTTTTGTTCTAGAAATAGTACATAAACATATAATTCATTACTTTATTAAATTTATTTCAAAACATATTCAATACTATATTTTTATGTGCGATTCATATAGTTAGATAATTTATACAAAAATACTTGAATCATTTATTTAGTGAATATATATGAATTATTTATTCATAACGCTCTTTAATTGTTCATGGATCATTTAGAAAGTTTTCTTATTTTGAAAGTGAAATAAATCGTGTATAATATAATTTAGCGCTTGAAAGAGACTGCTCAGTATGTAAAATAATCATCAGTTATGGTTATTAATAATTAAAAATCTTTCCTTGTCGATTGTGACTTAAAAATCATATTCGTTAATGTTGTTATTAATCTAAATAAAGTTTGCTTAGTTACCTTAAGAGTATGTTTAAAATTTGTATCAAACTTCAAACCTAAATTAATTGTATTAAGTTTGTTTATTCGTTGAGGACAAAATTAATGAAAAATTTGGAGAAAACTGGATTGACCATTTTATATAAAATAAAAGCACCTATATTCTAGTTGCGGCTTTTATACAGACAATTTGTAAACCTTTTTAAAAATAGTAACCGCAAAAGTTGTTTAATGTAATGTGAAATTTCGCCTAAGAAAGTAAAAAAATAATATGTTATTAATTGTACGATATACTGATGAAACCATAAGACATAACCGTATAATTAATATTATAATTAAAAACAAGAAATTTAGGTTTAAGATAGTTTTATATATGTAAATATCTTCCCACTCGTACAGAATATACACAAGCGGGTAAATAGATAAATATATATGGAACGTGTTTAGATAGAGCGTGACAAAATTCATTTAACATTATATTAACATGCATTTGAAATTTAACCGAAATATTATTAAGAATTACGATTTTATTATTATTTTATTATTTAATGTTTATTTTGTTTAACAAATCTACGACTTCGTGAAAAAAGTGCAAATAAAAATGCAACATATTGTAATTATTTTTACGTGTTCATACTAAACTAAACTAGCAAACTAAACTCTACACTGCTTTTTTCATTAATAGTCATTGACAATATTGAAATATCGCAACGAAAATATAATTGAAATGCGAAACTTAACCTATTGGTCTAAATAGCCAAATTTTTGCACAAATAAGTTTTTTTAATATTTTCTCTCTCAAAGTTTTAAAAATTCTTGCAAGTTGGTCACACCCGCGAATCTATGGTATGAATAATAATTTGAACCGAAGTGTCAAATTACTCCATTGTGAAGGGGCACTCGAGCCAAGTGATAATTATAACGATAATAACGACATTAGAACAGACGGTACAACAGAATTTCATATAGTCTATTAATTGGTTCGATTTTCTTTCGTTGCAGCTGTGCGCCTGCGGAATGCTGGGAGCTGGTCTCTGGATGCGATTTAATTACTCCTACGACTATGGGACGCTGGTTCCGCAACACAGTTACGCATCGTCGGATGTGGTGGTGCTCGCAACCGGATGCGTCACCTTCGTCGTGGCCTTTTTCGGATGCTGCGGCGCTTGGTTCCAGTCGCGATGCTTACTGATTACGGTCAGTTACGTACTTTAGCGACGCTATTGTTTATATCGGAGTAATTGCCAATACTTCAGGGGATGGGAGAGCAGGCACTTATATTTTTTAATAAAGGGTTTCCTTTCGAATCAAGGTCGAGGTGTACCCATTTGTATACTTGGATAAGTACGATAATTGCATAATAAACTTTCCAGCATTCGTTTTATGTCGACACGAAGGAAATAGTTTTGAGACCAAACCATTTACGATAATACATATATTTTCACTTATGTCAATTTTTTTTTCAATACTTAAAATCAGATAATACACGACTTTTTTCAATTTACTTACACTTGAAGAAGTACAGTTATCATACTTTATTTTGCAAGAGAAATTATTATATTTTAAGCGAGTATAAAATCTCACAAACTTCTAAAGTTTCGGCTATCTTTAATGCAAACGTTTGATGATTTGTGAAGACTTTTAAAATAACATTTATACATATAGTATTGAAGATACTTCTAGATAATTAATTACATTTAACAATATATATCAATAAGAAATTTTAAATACAACATAGTAAGTATACATACTCTGTAGTTTATAAAATTTGTTCAAATATATATTATTAATAAGTAAACTAATATAATTATTCCATTTATTAATTAAAAAAAAAAAAAAAATAAAAAAGAATTAAAAAAAAAGCATAATTAATAAATACTTTATCAATTTCGAATAAAATATTTATAATTTCATACATTATATAATATTTGTAATATATAAAAAGCGGAATAATATAATAATTATTTATTTTATGCAGAATATAGAAATTCTAATAGAAGTAAAATAATTGCTTGTATACAAATAAATTTTTTTTTTATAAACAATTACACAGCATTATAATAGGAGATATATTCAACTACTTAAATAATGAATTGATGAAAGATTAATATTGTTATAGCTTCTTTACTACATATTAAAATTAAAAGTTGTTAGAAACTTAAATTTTCAATTATTAAAGTATTAGTAAAAAGGTTAAAGAACACACCAAAGTAGTAGGTTCCATGTATATATATTTGAGAAATTCTGCGTACATGTTTTATTGGTAAAAAAATGCTTATAAAATAAAAAAAACTCAAGAATAATATAATGCACTTTAAATACAGTTTATTATATTATTTATTGCTTTATTAATAGGAAAGAAACCCTAGTATGTAATAATAATTATAATATGACGTAAAATAGTAATTAAAAAATTAATTAAAGAATATGATAAATTATGAATTTGATATACGCATTTTTTTTTCATTTTGAAATAAATTTTAAGTTAATTACATAAAAAATTACATCCTTTTATAGAGGATTTAGTTAAAAATATTGATATATATTAATCTTTTCTGTGTAGTATTTCAGTTTGGTCATACTCGTCTTTTTGGCTGAATTTATGCTCGGCACATTAGCATTTGTTTTCAAAGATCAAGTTGGAACAAACATGAAGTCACAATTACTTTATGGAATTACGGAGCACTATACTGACGAAAATATGCACGAAAGTGGAACTTTCTCCAATTTTTGGGATTATATACAAACTAATGTAAGTTTAATTAAATGTATGACAATTATATACGTAGAAGTGACAAAGTTCTATTGTTAATATCAATGAAAATATGTGTATACTGAATATTATAGTACATAATTACATATAACTAACATATAACTAAATTTTAATTATACAGCATAATTAGATACAATTTCGTCATTATATTTACTCGTCATTTTTTTCTTCTTTAAATTAATGATTTTTAACTGAATCTTTTCATTTATATTTTCTCATTGGATCTGTCTACTTAGGATATAAATTTTGCAAACATCTTGAAGCAAAAATAGGAAAAAACATTTTTATCGATGTTGCTTTTACTTGTATTGGAGAATCGCATGTATTGACATGCTATTGTTCGATGACTCCAATAACGAAAAAAATTTGATTGAAACGGGATCCTGATGTCATAGTATTGTAGCAAACAGTGTGCATTAAAAGTACAATCACGTATATTGTACGGATCCTTTGCATTCGGTCGAAAATTTTATCGCTCCGTCACTTGTACACTTTATTCACTCTTAACGGTAGAAAATAAGAGAACAACTTGTAAACAAGCAAAATTATAAATATATTAATTAATTTAAAAAATTTTTTTTTAATAGCTGATTTACAACTATATATAATTTAACAATGTTGGTTAATATGAAATTAACAATCCGATTTAGAGGTAATCTTAACAAGTGACGTAAGATACATTTTTCCTTTTCACTTAGTATGTTCTGATTTTCATAAAATTTTTGTGAATATTAGAAGGTTTTTGAAATTGATTTTTTTCTTAAAATGAATTTATCCACATGATAAAACATAACTTCGTCGGTAATGTCGAGTACTACTTATTTCTATATATATAATTATTTAGATCTAAAATTCTTAACGAAGATAATTATACATTTCATAAAATTATTTTCAATGGATTTATTATAATCTAACGCAATCACAATCTAATTTCTACGACATATTCCTGTTTTCTAAATGTAAAATATACCTTTGATTCAATGTTCAAAATAATCTACATGCATATGTAATAGTTAATTCATGAATATAAACAATAGATATAAGTATTTTTGACATAATGATAATTAATAATAATAATAATATGAAATATCTAATTTTTTTATATAAATGACTGAAATTTTAATATCAATTATAAAAAACAATAGAATATCAGTTATAAATGTGTAAGATGTTAATTTAAAAAATTTTAAATAACTAAATATATTTATAAAGCTTTTGGAATGGAAAGTACAGTGAATCCTAATGAAATTTCAGAATAATATTACTATACTCCTCCGAAAATCATTGGTTTAGGTTTCATTAATTTTCTTGTTAATTTCGTCGAACAATACTTTCACATCTCTATTTCATACATTTATACTTATTTCTTAAGCGACAAATTCAAAACATGTTTAAAAGTAAAACAGCATTTAACAAAGTCCAGTCAATAAGCTAAAGTACATTAATACAACAACCGATCTATTGCAGTTCCAGTGCTGTGGGGTCGATAAATACTACGACTGGTACAACATTAAAGCTTGGCCAAATGAAGAGCGCGTGCCGGACTCATGCTGTCGCAATCGCGAACGATATTGCGGCAAGCAGTACGAGAACGAGGACTTCCAGCAGAATTGGTACAAGGATGGCTGCGCGTACGCCATCCAGATGTGGCTGGTCCAGCGGCTGCATTTCGTTGGCACCGTGGGTCTCGTTATCGGCTTCCTCCAGCTGTTCGGCCTCATCGCCAGCATGATATTATTCTGCACGGTCAGACACAAGCGATCCACGCACACCTACAAAAGTTACGATACCACGACGACCTAAACCAGGTCCGACTGATGAGAACGCGGTATAATGTATTAATTGTCGCATTTCGCAGCTCATCGATAGGAACAGCAAACGAGGGGACGTCGCACTCGGCCGCTTTTGGTTGAAGAATAGTTACTAAAATTTTGACGAATGATTGACGTGTATCATAACGATGATGACAACGACAACGATGACAACGACGACAACGACAATGCTGACGACGATAACGAAGATAGCTACTGCCACGCCACGACTTTTAATTAACATTTTCCGATAATGGATTGTCCTTGGATACAAGATAAGCATATATATATATATATATATATATGTATATGCCATCTTTTTACCTGATTTTCATATTTTTCGTTTTCACTTGTAGAACAATTTTACTTTTGTTAGTTAATGAATGAGGATTTCTATACTCGCAAGCGCAGATCGTTGAAGGTTATCTCTCACTACGGTAGCACATTTTATATCGTCAATATTTCTATTCATTAATGCCTTGTTTTCTTTTTTTCATTTTTTTTTTTTTTTTGCAAAATAGTTCACAATAAAATTATAGTTTTATCATACCATTATTTTTTGTATCTTTCGTATACAGAGAATCTGTTTGATTGGTAACTCTTAAAATCTTGTATCACGTTTGTATATATCATAATAATTTCATATAGAATTATAATAAATTATAATTTTGGTTATAAATTATTGAAAAAATTGTTCGAATGTAATTGACGGAGTTTTTAACAAAGTTTTTATTAAAACAGTGATTCATTCTTAAAATTAATTTATTATCATAAGAATAGTTATTGGAAATGCTTATTAAAGATTTTTCATAGATTCACGTTTTTAAAGAATTTTACCATAATCTTAATTCAATATGATGTTGTTCTATTATTTAATTTAAAGTCAAACTTTCGTTCTTAAAATCTTTAAATAAAAAAAAATACTTTAAAGCATAAAAATTTGAAGACATATATTATATATATTTTATATAATTATATTATTATTATTTAACGATAAATTAATTACAATTTGAGGATGTATGTGGTAAAGTTTGTAAAATGTACAAAAAAGAAAAGAGCGAAGTGAAAAACAGAATGAGTAGAGTAGAGTGCTTTAATGATTTTATGTATAGAAACGTGTGATATGATAATGACTGAGTAAGTAAAAGTCAATTGACAAATATACTTGCGTGAAATTGATTATTCAACACGTACACGTACGTGAACTGTAGACATATCCATTGTGATATAAATACAGATCAGGTACCACAAAGCACATAAGTTTAATATTCTCCTAATTCTTCGTTACGACGATTTTTCGCATAGTATACATATAAATTACGCTATAAACCCGTACGTTTATGCGTGAGCGTAGGCATACGTGTGTGAATATTTTGAACACAGTATAACAGATGACGTATTGGGTATGTATTGGTTCAACTTAATTTTCTAAAATTATTGATATAAGTTCTATGACACAAACATTACAGTTTCTATATGCAACACTAAGCAAAAATTATCTTTCAAGATTTTTGAAAAATTAATTAATTGCAAGATAGTTTTATAACGTATCTCTCTTTCAGTATATGTATATTTTTACATATTTACATCAATATCTGAAATTTGCTTTAAATATCAATTATTTATTTATAATCTTCTGCTCCAAATATGTGAAATAAAATTGTGAGTGTACAGTTATTTTATCAATAAATTTTCAAATTACTTTGATTTATATGACATTTTCTATTTGAATTAATTGCACATACATTAGTGTAAAAATATTATTTTCATTGTACGTGATTTACATTTTCCTGTAAAACCAATATAACTAGATTAAATCAAAACAATATATCATGTAGCTCCGAATGCCTTAAAATTATGTAAATTCTACAAACAAATCTTTTAAAAAGATTTTAGCAAATGTAAAGGCATATATGTTTAATTTAACTCAATAAATAATTAAACAATATCAGATTTTTTAATCCGTCAAAATGTATTAATATATTAATATATTTATATAATACTTTTCAAGAAGCTTCAATTCCTTTTTTATACGTTATGAGCAGGAATTTTAAATATTTTACATATTAATCACCATGTAAGAGTAATATTGTTGAAAATTCATATTTCTTAATATTATATTCTGATCATAATATATGTATTGTGCCATGAATTTATTATGATAATGTCAAATTTTCAAGGTGAAATTTAGAATAAATTTTTCTAAGACAATCCATAAAAACTATATAATGTGGAACTAATTTGGACGTTATACCATTTTTGTATCAATTAATTTTTACTGTATATAAATATTTGTATTTTAAGTTTAATATTCACAAATAAATAGAATTGATTTTTGTTTAATTATTCATAATTTGTACATAATTTTCTTTGTAAAATATTAATTTTCACCTAAAGAATTACAAAGTTTATATACAGTAAATTTTAATAAAAATAATAACAAATAGATGATTATATTTTGTAATTTTTATAATATTTAAAAAAATTATATATATTTAAAATTTGTTAATTATTAACAGATAATAGTAAAAGTATATAGTAACGTTAAATCGAATAGTTTAAAAATATATACATGTTTCAACACCAAAATGTGAATATTGTTAATTCAATGCAATAATTATATTTTTTTTAAATAAAATATTATATAAGTGTCTACGTGTATTTATATTTAAGGATACTCGCCTATATAATAAGTCAATTGTTATAATGTAATTTGTAAAATAAAACTATTTTCACCTATAAGATTTTAAAAACTTTTGACAATAATTTATGATATTAAGTTACATAATTTTGATTGTAATATTTATGAAAAATAATCTTTGGTTATATATCAAATTGTATTTAAATATTGTAATTAAGTTATTTCTTTTCAATTTCATCTTATGTTTTAACCAAGTGTTAACATTATTAAAATAATCGATAAATATATTAATATGTTCGTATAGTCAAAGTTATGATAATGAAATTATTAAAATATCATAATTAGAACAACAGGATAGTATCCTTAATTATGATTTCGATCGACCGATGTATTTAGTTTTTAGAAAATAGTTTTATTATTTACTAAGGTATGTCAATTGCGTTTCGCTTTAACAGTTGGGTATAAAAAAATTGATACACTCTGCCGTTGGTTAAATGTCTGTATTTAAGTTTTAATGTATACAAATTGAGATATATTTTATAAATATCAACAATTTCTAATTTGTCAATTATAATGAAACTTTTACGTACTTTACATATATATATTATTCATTACAAAATCAGATTATTACAAATATTTTAAGTATATGTGAAATACGTACTGCTAGAGAATGTTGATTTTTATAAATTTGATATGCCCGTATTTAAAAATAAGCGTCTTTAGAGGTGTTATTCATTTCAATACGGCAGTAAGAGTAAAATTTTATTTACATTATTCATAATACGCTTGTTAACTGTAGAGCACAAAATGTGAAATATTTATTACTAACCGATATGAAAATGTTTTTATTACACATGTATAAGGCTATATGTTGGAAAAAAAACCTGCGAATTCTTGTTAAAGCTGTGTAAAGAACTTTTATAAATATACTTTTTACATAATTGATTCAACAAGGTTAGTTAACTTATGTACTATATTTACATATTTTATTTTTCCTAAATTTTGTAAAATATTAAAATTAATTTTATAATTGAAATTTTTATTGTAGACCAATTAGGCGTGATCCAATTTGATTCAGAGCTTCAGTAATTCCTCGTGACGTTTTTTTTGCAGCATTTACTGGTAACTGAAGACAAAGTATTTATGAAGATTATTAAATCTTAGCATTTCTTATCATTAACAGATTTACAAACAAATATTAAGTTTATATTACAAATAAGATAAAAATAATAAGATTTCATATCAATTTACTGATTTTTTGCATAGATTAGAATAAATATTCTAATTACAAATGATCAAAGCTATATCATATAATATACAATTTTAAATACTTACATTACTATTAAACCATAAATTTTATAAATTAAAAATTTATTATATTTTAAATTTTGGAAAATATATTAATAATTTTATTTATAGTTCTTACAATTTGTTATTTGATACAACGTAATAATAATAAGTATAAGAAAATAAAATAAAAGATATCTAATTTTTATGATTATACATTATTAAATGGTAAAAGATTTTTTTTATTATTTTAATGCAAATTGATGTAATTAAATTTATTTAATGTACAACATAATATTATTTTATAATAATTTAATTTCTAAAATAATGTATATTATTTGTGAGCTTTGGTAAAATTGCAGTTGATTATTAATTATTAAATTATGTAAGATTTCAAAATTTTTAATATAATTATATTAAAGCTATCATGTCATATAATTCGACATATATACTGTATAAATAAAAGTGCAATGATAAATAGTAATGTTTAAAATACTACGATAGATATGTCATATACACGTTCCCAAAAAATATCATTTATTTTACTCAGCTACGGTAAAGATTCTTTTTCGTTTAATATTGGAAAAAATAAGAAAAATAAATATTATTTGTCCTTAGTCACATATGAAGTACTCACATCGGCTACATAATTAACGAAATTGCTGATACCCTCGACGCCATTTACAAAGGCACGACCAACGACTACGAATTTATCTCCATTATTCCCATATTTGTCTTCTTCTTTAATGGAATCGACAATCGGTTGAGGTTTTAAGATAGATTGCAAGAACAAACTAATCGGATTTTCTCTCTTTCTTTCAAAGAACGCCTGGTCTTTCTCACTTTCAAGTCGGGTAGTTTCGCGAGTTTTTGGAGGTAGAAAATTGGCAAACGGAGATTTTTCGTAGGACTGCAAGGTGCTGCGCCCTTTGACAATGATGTCGTTGGCAGCGCCTATTGCTCCTGCGACGTTGTTTCGTGTTTCGCTCATAATCTCCTGTAAGGGCAGGCATATATTATATTTTGCAATGGCAATATATTTTGATAATTGGTTCACAAGAGTTAAAAGTTTTAGGAATACACAAATTTAATGTTCGTATATACATGAAATGCGATTAAATTAATATTTACAGAATATTAGAAATTTTTATTTTAGTTGGAAGGAAAGAGAAGATCCAAAGAAAATATTTATATCGGAAAAGTAATCTGTTTTGCTCAAGTATTAGTCACAAGCTTCAAATTCGTATGTTTTATTTCAAAATTAAATTTGTTTCTTTCCGAGAATTTTTCACATTACGTAACATAAACATTTGAGCGATTACTTCATTTTCTTTTCATTTTTTTAAAAATTTCAATTAATGATATACGGATGCTTGTAATTAAAAAAAAAAAATTATAATTTATTAATCATACAATTCTTTAAAATTAATTTATCTTATTTGAAGTTATCGTTACAAAATAATTTAGAATAATGTGATTTCATAAATCAGTAAAATAATTTTATTAGCAGAATGTAATTATATTATTTTAAATGTAGCATTTCCATCCATATACATATATATATATATATATATATATATATATATATATATATATATATATTCTATTCCAACCCATATAATTTTATATTATGTCAATTGCAATAAAAATATTCCAAGATTTTTTAATGCTTGTTCTAATTGGATTTATGATTAGGAAAAATTTATGTAAAATTGAAATGTTTTGGATTTATATTTCTTTAAATTCTAATTGAAAATATATTATGGATAATTTATTGCAATCTTTTATTAAAAATTTTATTCATGGAATTTCAAATATTAAATTTTTATAATATATGTATATAAATAGATTCACTATTAAATTGTTCAATTAATAAATTTAATAAAATATTTCATTCGAATATAAGAAAAAGACTTAATTAGTTTTAATAATATACTACCATACCTTATAATATATAATTATTCTTACAAATCCTTTTCTATATCCACTTCATAAGATGTTCAATTTTTTTAGTGCTATATGTTGTATAAAATATTTCATTTGTATATATTGGATTATATTTACAATTGTTTATGATGTCTATCGAGTAAAAATTAAAAATGTATTATTATATCTAAAAAAATTGAAGGATAAAATAAAACATTTTTTTATTAAAATTTAGCGGAAGCACTTTGATATTCTAAACTTTTATTTGTATAATATATGAGGAGTAGATGAAACACGCAAACATCAATTTTGCTAAGGTGCCATAAAATCAGATGTTATTAATTACAACTTGGTAAAGACAACAATAAAAATAATACATAAAGTATCAAGCAATTACTGTTAATAATTAATTTTTCACATATAAAATGAAAATTATTTGAACTTTAATTAATAAAGTATTGCATTAAATCAGATACTTATATAGTAGTATGATTTTACAAAATGGTTAGTTACAACATTATAAATTCCTATATAAACATTATGTTTTGTAATTTTCTAAAATATATAATTACGTGCAGAATTTACTTAAAAAAAAAAAAAGTTATAGATAGTATATTTCAGTACTTATAGATTATTTATTATATGATGATTAATTTTTGTTAATTACGTAAGAAGTATTATTGATGACTTTCATGTAACATTTCATTGATTTCACTTTTAAGATTGTGTGAGGAATGTTTTCATTAATAGAAATGTAATAATTATTTTTGTATTCATGATACAAATAATAAAAGAAAAAAACTTTTAATTTATAATTTTATACATTTGACTATAAAATTACTTAAAAGAAATAATCATTAATGCAGATCGCAAATCAAAACGACAAAAAGTTTCTCATTTACAAAATGAAGAAAGTGAATTTTTTAGTATTTCACAATATATTGTAATGAAAGATGAGTAATAAAATTTGTTTGACAACTATTATCAACTTATATTATTAACTGATATTATGATATTAATATACAAGTAGTTGGATAATAAGTTTTCAGCAATATTGTTTAAATTTTTACATAAAATTAAATATTTTTTGTATTTTGTTGTTATTTTATTAAGAATAAAACATTTTAGTTATATCGAATGTAGAACATGATAATATGAGAATATCGTTAGAATTTAGTAATAAAACGTATAGTTCCGTTAAATGAATGAATCTGTATGAACAAATTAGATAAATGTAATTGATTAATAATAATATAATATAATCAACATCTTATTTAAGAGAGTATTTATTGCAAAAATAAATTTTTAAAATAAATTTAATTAAAAGCTCATAATTAAAAATTTATCCCTTCAAATTTCCAAGTATTTTTAATGCCTGAATTATATTTTATATCATTTTTTCCAAAAAAAAAACACCAATTTATATATAATTATATTACGTGCGATAGTTAATTAAGATCGAAGATTTCGAATATTTTCACGCATAATATTTGGTTATGCATCATTTCGTAAAGGCGAAAGTGTCAGTGGTTTGTTATGCATACAGCATTAACGAGTAATAAATATACTTTCATTGTTGCCACTTCACAACATACCAGTTTATTTTAACTATTTATTCATAGTTTATTCTGCGCATATGCTCGTCAGTTTTAAAAAAAGAAAAATGATTTACGATTATGACACTGGAATTTTAAGCTTGATGGCTGCGCTTGAAAATTTGGTACATATATACATGTATACAAAAACACAACATTTAATAGATAATGAGAATTAGATGTTTACTTTTAAGAATAAGTAGGACTGTATTATTAAAAATTCATTCGTTAATAAGTTAGAAAATTTTATTAAAATAAAACAAACAAAAAAATTATTGAATAAATAATTTTTTTAAATTTTTATTATTCTGTTAAGAAATATACGAACATTGAAATTTTATTATTTGCAGACTTTTAATTGGAATTTTCAGATTGTCGTATTTATAAAGTTCAAAAAATGAAAAGTTAAAATTCTTACAGATGTATATTAATTGTATTTAAAAATATCGTTTTTACTTTAAAATTATTATTTTTTTCACAATTTATCAAAGTAAAAATTTATTAAAAGGATTCAAATATTTTTGTTTTATAATAAGCTATCGAAGAGCATTATCGAGAAGTATTATTAACTACACAATGATCCTTAAAGCTGCTGCTCAGTCCTTTATTCAAAGTGAGGAATAGTAAGTAACGACACAAAAATTACAAATGACATATACCGATTTTCCCGTGCGTGTATAAACACACTTTTGAATTACCTCAAATCGCTCAGCTACGGCGTTTCGGGCAATTGCAACCGAATTGACTAGTCGCCCTCGGCCAAATCTTAGTGTATCTGCCATCCGGCTTAACCACTCCTACAACACGCCAAACAAAATTTGGATATTTTCATTGCCCCCCTCCCAGCTAAATTACAAACTTGAATCGAAATTCTCACGTTTCACTCGAGCGCTCGAAGGCCAATTAATTGGTCATTTCTATTTTGCTAAAGTTCAACGGTTTAATTTTCTACATTTATCTTATCCTCTATGTGTCATGATTTTTATTTTATACATAAACGAATAGCATTCTTTAAATTATACTAGTTAAGCATTTTTATACATCAAATTCAGCAATCGGTTGCGTGTATATATATATATATATATATATAATTATATTAATTCAATGTTAATTGTATACTTTCTAATATATATCCGCATTCATTTTTTCGTTTTTAACATAAATATTTATATCTTGTTTATTAATTATGTTTAAACAATTTATGTTTCTCAAAACCAGGAAAAATATTGAAGTATAGTTTATTTCGATCTTAAGTTTAAAATTAAATTGAATACCTAATTAAATTTTATAAAGTGGCGTCGACTTAGGAAGTTAAATCAAAAGGTTTTTCCCAGCGTAAGTGAGAATCAGAATAAAAATTTACATACTAATGACGTAACTCTTAACATACCATAATACATCATCGGCTACATAACATTTGATTGAAATAAAACAGTCATTAAAAGAAGGTATATTTATGAGTTAAAATAAGATGCTGTATACACATCTTTTAATAAATCGTTACGATGAAGATGTTAATACAACATCATGTAAAATATACTAATGAAAATGTTTAAAATCCTATAAATTTGATTTTATAATATTTTATTTAAGTACATTCTAATATATGTATATATATATATATATATATATATATATATATATATATATATATATATATATGTGTGTGTGTGTGTGTGTGTGTGTGTGTGTGTGTGTATAATAGGAACAATAGTACATTATTAATTTGTCATTATATGATTATGTTAATATTTAAGATTTTAATTAATAATTAATGAATAATTAATTTAAGGTAACGTTTTCAAATGAAACATATCAAGCAAATTCGATAAATTGTATTTTAAAATATAAAATTTCCAAATTTATTAAATAATTTATATTTTTCAATAGCCATAACAATATTATGATTCTTATATTATGTATGTATATATATATATATATATAAATCAGAAAAAATTTCCATTCCATCTTGAATTTTTGCATTAAGTTCAAAGTTTCTAGGTTTCTCAGTTATTTTTTCCTCATCATCCTTCTTGATATCTAAACTGAATTTGATTGGTTCTTGATTTACCGACGGTCTTCCTTCTATGGTTACCGTAACTAATATTGTTACAGACATAAGTAGAGCTACTGTGAATCTTGGCTTCATTTTACAAACTTGTTGAATATGATGAAATTTACAATGCAGTTGGAAAATTGATAAGGCTCCGTATGTTGAATATTACAAATTATATAAAGAAAGAACCTTGGATGTTAAATTATTGCAGCAAAATATCCTGTGAAGACTTTCGAAATTTCAGTAAGAATTCTCTCAATAGAACAGTATTCTTTACTGGTTTCTACAAATAAAGATGCGGTCAATAATAGTATGAGTTTTTCAATTCTACCTTTTTACAGGACAATAATTACGATATATCATAGAAAAATAAATTTGCAGTTATTATTATTAAGTAGGATATTTGTATTAATGAAATTTATTTTTAACGACAATTTCTGATTGAAAATAATTGATAATAATATTTGCAACGTGTATTTAATTATTAAGAAAGCTAAAAAATACACATTTATCGAAATTATTTTACTGATATAGAGAATCAAATTTTGATTAAAAAATGTAAAAACAATGGCTTTGAATTTCGTACAAATTCGTATTGAAAAACTTTACAACTAGTAATAAAGTAATATTTTTCATAAGTTAGAAATTCATGAGACCTGTTTGATCATTAATGTATTGAATGGGATAATAATAATGACCAGTGGTTTATCCTGTCATTACTTGCTATCCTTCAATTATTCAGGTTACTTTAGTAAAATGTAGATTTCTTTGGAATGCAATATTAATGAAGTGCGTGACATATTTAAAACATTATAAATAACCAAATATAAACATACAATTCTATTATAAATGAATTTTACAATACTATTAATTAAGAAAATTATTATAAAAATAATCTAAATTAGTATATTTGTAATATAAAATATCTATACTTTTAATATAAAAAACTAAAGTGTAATATTAATAGAATCATGAATTATGTCTACAATTTTTCATTCGTCTTAGTTTTAGTTATTTTATTTTTGAAAAAAATAATTCAGAAAATTGAACATCGTCTCATATAAATAAGATTAAAGATTTACACCCTTAAATTCATCTACTTCAGGAAAATTAACTGCTTATACAAATTATCATTATTATATTATAATTAATTTATCGTATATGTAACTGAAAGGTATTTGAAGGAGCTTTAAGAAAAATGAAATTCAAACTGAAATAATCAATCATGCTTAATAAAAGAGAGAACCAGTTTCTTTACTGGTATGTAGATGTATATATATATATATATATATATATATATATATATAACGTGCGCGTTAAAACTTACTCGCAGAGGTTGAATGTCTTGCTTGATTCCTTAAGTAGACGCTTACAATTGATAATGTGCCACTGCTTGCATTCAATGGTGGCGATACGGAAAAAGTTTACACGCATACGAAATAATGTCGATGCCTTGTCACTTGTGCGACCTTTGGTCGATATTTCACTTTTAATCGCAAACCATAGGAGTATAAGACTGTAGGAGCAAATGAAAGATGAAAGCGTCAGTGCGTGTTGACACACGTGGCGTGTAGACTGCCAATATATTCGACACCGGCTGCCAACTGATTACTGTGTGAGCTCCAGCTCGACTCTCGCCTTAGTTTTTCTTTATAAGTCTTGCGACATGCTTACCTCGATCGCTTTCTCTTTCTTTCGAATCTGCGTGCTCTTGCTCTTTAAAACTGGCGCGCAACTTTGCCATGGATCATCCTACATAGTTTACCATATATTTTACATATCTCTCTCTCTCTCTCTCTCTCTCTCTCTCTCTTTCTCTCTCTTACTCTCATTCACTACCATTTTTTAGTTCTCTTCTTGCCTCTTATCGTAGTTCAAGTTAAATATAATTATTAAAACGATGATTATCTGTTGAGGTCGGCAATGACGTTGTCCTCGATCCTTAAATACCTACCTGTGGATATGTTTGCGAAATTTTCTGGAATGTTTCTGACGACGATTTCGCTACTCTATTCTATAAACATTATAATTAAACTAGATTGAAGGTTCTACGATAGTTAAATATTTGTTTTTATCTCTAACTACTGTACCTAATTTATTAAGAATTCTATACTATTTTGTATGAATCGATAAATGTATAGGATTTACAAGATCTACATTATCGACTGAAGATTTATTTATATGTATATCATTTTAATCCATGTAGTATAGTTGTCAATACTTTTCATGAATACAAAACGTAATTCGATACATTAACTTATCATTTAATTAATTATTTCGATCAGATATTTAAAATTTGTTAATTAAAATTACTCGTTAATTTATTAAATAAATATATAAATTAGGAATTCGAATATTCTCATTATATTTAATAACTAATTTTTCAAATCATTCTTAACCGGTACAAAATCAATTTAATTATGATCATTTCATGCAGTAAAACTGGGACTCTTTATAGATTAAACTTTATATCGTTACAAAAATGTGTTTCATATCTTATATTTAGTTATCCTATGTACATATTAAAGATAGTCTTCAGACTATAATAGAAATATATATTTTAATATTTAAATTCTGAAAAGTAAAATAAAATTATATAAATAAATATTATTATTTCTGTGTGTATCTTTAATAGTAATTTCATGAATAATTTATAACTAATTCAATAAAAATACAGGTAATAATAATATATGCTTTGGTAATCTTATTTTAACCAGAATAAAAATAAGAATGAGAAAATTTGTTCGTCCTTATAATTAATTATACGTATGGATAAAATAAAAAATTATCATTAATTTACATCTCAAATTGTTTTATGTAGTATCTAAAAGGGATCAAGATATTAAAAATTATCATGAATTAAAATAAGAAAATTAAATTAAACATAAAAAAAAAATAGAATAAATATATTTATATATTCCCATAAAATGTCATTAAATAATAAAATTTATATTAGCATAATTTAAAAATTATAAGTGGAATAAATAACTCGAATTATAGACGAATGCAATTTTCTATGTCTTATAATTAGAATTAAATTAATTTTGTAGTTTTAAACATAATATTGCGCGCTCGAGCACGCGCGCGCGCGCATAAGCACGTAACACAAATATATCGTATATACATTATACAAATTAATATATCCTTTTTACTTTGTATTATTATTTTTAATGTACACTTGAGCTACAAGCATGCTGTATAGAATATTATATGATGTATGGATGATTTTTATATAATACTATTTTATATAAATATATAAATATATGAATGTAGAAATACAATGTGTGTATGTGAACTTATATTCAGTTAAAAATCGAAGGTACATGAAAGAATTTAGAAATAAAACTGTCATGCTTTCCCAATCTTAGAGCTGCATTGAATTTAATAAAGCGTATTATATAATTTTTTTTTAAATATAAAGGCATTTTTATGAAACGTGAAGTATTCAATATTGAGAATGTACTGAATATTTTTTTTTTTTTAAACTCGAATTTTTACTCACTTTTCTGAAGGATACGGATACCTCGATCAATTAATATTATCGATAAATAATAAAATTAATTACTTTTAAATTCATAATAATATATTTCATCTGTCGGCTTTTATATCTACTTAATAAATAATTTAAGTTGATTTAATTAGGCATGTGATTTTTGTACAAGCAAATATAAAATCGATCGCTAATTGGATGAATAATTGCCATACAATAATACTTTTGGAATTATCAAAGATTTAAACCTTGAACGTATTGGAGATCAATGTGTATATATTTGTTGTTATATCTCTTATTGTTGCGAAGAATGAATATAACTAAAAAAACATCGGGTAATCTATAACTCCATTTGTTTTTAAATAAAAGTTTGGAATAATGAAGTTCTTTTACTTACAAAGGATGTCAATTGTTCCAATAAACTCATATTTGTGTCATTTATATAAATAGCCGTATTGTTCATATCAACGAAGTCATCAATATGTCCTATGGATTGTAATTCAAGTTTTTTGTCCATCTCATTAGAGATTATTGATGTCAAATTATTTGTTTCAGTAGATGTTGGTTCCCCTTCATTTACATCCTCTGCTGGTTTAACATTGAATAAGTAACGCGAATCATATTCTAATTCTCTCTTAATACGATCTTTGTCATCAGGAGAAATTTCAAAAGTGAAATCTGTAAGAACAATAACTTAATAATTATTTTGAATTATCATTTAAATAAATCAAATTTATTACAATTAAATGAGGCTTGGTGACAAATATTCTAACTTATCTATACAAGATATTTGTATTAAAAACTGTCTTATATTTATTTATCTAAATATTTTATTGCTATCAATATCACCAATACTAATCTTACCATCCTCAATATGATCTTTTTCCGTAAGAATATCGCGACTTTTTGGATAATCTAAGAATCGTGAAAGTTGATATTCAAAATCGTCCTTAGAGTCATCGGTATCCACTATATCTTTTTCTCGTTGTTTTTCTTGTATATTATTATATTGTTTTTCTTCCGAAACTTCTACATTTTCATAATTATTAACCATCTCATTGAGATCTCCTGTTGAACAATAATTACGAATAATTTTAGTTTCATAACGATTTTTAATTTATTAAAAAAAGTTATCTTTTGAGCTTATTAAGTTATAATTCAAGTTATTATTTTACCTTTATTGAGAGCGAATTGCTTAATATTTGTAGAAGGATATACGAACATAGGATTGTCAATTAAGTTTTCTTTTGTTTCTTTAATATTGACTTTACTTTCCGGAACGTTAAATAGAAGAATTCTTGGGAGTAAATCTTTTACATTTGTACTATTACGGTATTTCTGCTCAGTATTTAATGTCGAATGTGGTAGTTGTTTATGGAGTTGAATAGGACCTATGAAGTCAGTACTGGAATTCGATATTTCTGTGAGCACTTTATAACGGTCATTAGTATTTACAGAATCTAATTCGGATGTTTTTAAATCTATATCGAGCTGAAATTTCGATTACGAGCTTTATTTAATATATATTTAATTTTAATTATTTAAAAATAATTATTTTCTATGTACATAAATAGTTTATCACAAGGTTGTGGATAAACGTCTTTTGTATATGTGTATGAAAGAAATATATATATTGTTTATTTTAGAAATTAATCTGCATGACTAAAGTTACGCACTGAAATCTGTCTTATATATATTAATTATTTATTAAAAAGTATCATAAGCATAAATGTTTTTGCATTTATAATTTTAAGTTAACATTTACAGATACGTATAAAAGTATTTATGCATGAAAATAAAATATATTTTTTAAATGAATAGTTTTGAAAATACACACCTGTCTTCGATGTTTATTATGTGATAAAGTGTATCCACCCACTAATAAATATTGCAGGATGTAAAAATATACTGTATTCATAATTAATTTTTATGAAATATTATTTATTAATTAGTTGATATTTTCAATGAGATGAGTATTTTATAAATTTAGCGCTGTAATTTTAAATTACTATTAACACTATATATTCTTATTAATTGTGCATAAAGCTATCGATGATTATTCGCCTAATATTCACTATTTTTTAATGAATAATATCTTATTAAAAATTTAAGAAATTATTATCGATATACACTTTATTAGTAAGTTAAATTCTCTTACTTATTGTCTTGATATTAACTGAATTAATATTTAAAATAAAATGAATTTTTATTGCTCATACACAATATTTATAATCTCTGTATAATCTCTATAATGTACAAAGACGTGTTTAATCGTGAAAAAGGTAATGCATTCTATACATGTGTGTTATTAAATAATAATAAATTTGGTCTCATTATTATCTATCTGCATTTTAAACATTTATAATGGATAATTTGATGTATCTTTATATGAAAAAAATAATGATTCAGTTATCTAGTTAGAAAATGTACTGTAGAATGTTTTGCACAATTAATTTTAGCTTTACTTTTATCTAAGCTATACCGCAAATTATCTAATTATTAACACTTAGAGTTACATTATTACAGAATCATTTTTATTTTTAATGTATTAACATGACATAATATAATGAAAACAAAAAACAAAAACAAAATAGACGCACCATTTTAATTATTTATTAAGGTGTTGTTTATTTCATATTATAATTCTTGGTGAGAAACTTGTTTTTTCTTTCAAATTAATAATAATATATCTTATAAAGGAAATACTATTTTATATTTATTATGGTGATATGCAGTTAATAAACTGAGTAATTAAGTAAACAGTATATCGTAATATATTGAATTATATTTTTAATAGATATACTTTCATCTTCTACTTTATATAAACTTAGGACAAGATTTTATTTTGTAAAATAGAATAGATTTCAAATTGAGCCAGAAATGATTGTTAATGAAATATAGAAATTTAATATATAAATTATAATCATTTATATTTTAAATAATTTAAATGTTATTTTAATTCAATACGATAATAACTGTTATGTTATTTATTAAATTTTCTTTTAAACATTCATAACATCATACGAAATAAAAGTTATTATATAAAATTTTATACGAAATTAAAAATTAATATTGATCTAGTATTTTCTTATAATGTAATCCACATTTCATATTTTTTATAAAATTTAAAATGACATTAAAATCTTTAATACTTCTGTACATGTCAGGTATCAATGGATATTTTCAAAATTTCATAAATATTGTATAATCTACCATAACGTATAAAGTATAAAAACATCTTTCTAAATATTTCTAAATATATTTTGATTTAGTCATTAGTATTATAAGAAAAAATTCTTTACTCGCATAAATATTTATTAATACACTCGTTTTAAATATATACTTGACTATATGAAGAATTTATACAATACAATTTACGTTAATAACATACATTTATTTTAATGAATGAAACAATATATTTGTATAATAATATATAGAAAGCTGTTTTATATTGGTGGCTAATATTTTGTTTATAAATAATATTTTAAAAATCGTTAAAATAGATTGTTCAACACTATTATTCAGCATTTTTTAATTAAAATTAACTTTCAAACATATGACAATCTATAAAAAATTATATCTCAATTATAATTATTTAAAATAATCGAATGAATTACAGCGTAAGAAAGAATCTATAAAATCTTAATTTATAGTTTTATTTTAATTTCATTTCAATACAAAAATTTTTGTCTAATCTATAAATTATTTTAAAAAGGATATAATCGTTTATTGTATGTACGTTTTATACAATATTATCGGTAACGCGTGTTTTTGCAGGAATTTAACAATAAGTGCATTCCATGATAGCATTGACCGCTCGTCGTGACTTATTATTAGCGCTTATTTGTCGTAAGTAAAAGTTTGTCTGTCATCAATATTCAATAAATATTTTAATCTTCATTTTATTTTAAATCTATTTAAGGATTAGGAATAAATTTTAAAGAATGCATCAGTAAATTATATATTTGAAAACATTTATAATCTTATGATAAGCTTTATTTTTTATAAGACAATTTTAATAAATACTGTACATTTAGTGTTTAAGTATAAAAGTGTAGTTTTCTCAAATAACATGAGCAGCTTTAAATTAATATATACCGCATTAAAAAAAAAAAAAAAAAAATTGTATAAAAATTAAAGTACTAAATATATAAATTTAGAGGTCACAGTATGTAGGTACATATTCATAGGCGTGTACAAAGAAAACGTTAATGTATGTAAATTTTATTAAGCATACCAATTACGTGCTATGTACATTTACAAAAATCAAGTCTCACTTATGAATGTCGAAGATGTAAAAAGAGTATTTGTGAATATTTTGTAAAACAAAAGAATGAATCTATTATTATCGTATACTATTCGTCTACTTCTCAGTTAAAAAGAAGATATATATATATGATCATTAATATACACTTTTTATATCATTAATACACTTTTGTCAGAAATATTTCAATCTTTTTCAGTTTTCCTCTTCAGCCGACGTGATTTTTCAAAAGCTGGTTAACTGCATTTAATGCGGATATCGGTATCTGTAATATAAGAATAAATCTCATAAAAATCGATCTTAAAAATAAGTATGAAGTAAATTTATATAGCCATTAAATCATAAAATTTCAACGATTTTGACATTTTATTGCTTGTTTATAATTAAATATTTTCATGAAAATGTAAAATTGAAATCATTTTTCATCTACTATAATTCGATTTAGAAGTTATTTATAAAATATTTGGCCAATTTTCATATCTACTGGTAGGTATAAAAATATTAATTATAATATACATTGAAGATAGTTTTCTTTGATCTTGAGATGAAAATTCTTTAATATTATTGTATACTTTTAATTGATGAAATTTGTTTGGAAATAATTTTAAAGTTTCATAATAAAAGAGATGATTTATTAATAAATAAGAATGTTAAATTTGTAAAATAAATATTTACCAATTTTATGTACATAATATCGATCAGTATTGTTATATAATAATGAAATTCATAGAAAATAATTATAAATTAATTTATCAGCCAAATAAAAGATCAACTATGAAACTTTGCGAAATCTCTTGAGTTGTACAGTATTATCGCGACAACAAATCATTAATCCAGTTAATGCACAGTTGTTTACGCACGTAGTTACAGAAAATAAGATTACGATTTGGAAATTGTATGGAATTTCTGTAGATAATTATAATACAAATAGATTATATAAAGGTATTTAAAAATTTAAACAATACATTATAAAAGTATCGTGTATATGTTAATTGTGAATTGATAATCATTTGGTTATCAAAAATGTAAAAATACTTTTCCTATGTAATAGTTTAGCTCTATCATTTAAATTGATAATTATGTATATTAAATGACTACACATAGGACATAAGAATCAGATAAAATCGTATATTCATTTTGAAAGGGTTTAAAATAATGTTATGTGTGAATATTTTAAGAATGAAAAAATATTTTCTTGAATACAACATTTGAATATAAAGTAAAATGTAAAGTACCGAATAAATTATTATATACATAAGATATGAAGATACTTTATATATATCCTTTAAAAGAATTCAATGAAATAATTTAGTTATACTAAAAGTTAAAACAATTGATAAATTATACAGTACATTTATAAAATAAAATAAAAGCAAGTCTATTATTTATCTTCATTATCATTTTCAAATTAAAATCTGAGTATAACTTTAAAACGTTCGTAAATTTATGTAAATTTATGTATTTAACATTATTTCGTATGGAGTTAATAAATGTGGATGAAACGTACTTAGAACGTGATATATTCCAAGTGTCTGGATTCTTTTTCACGAAAAATTAAATTCCAAGAAATTATTGTCCGAGTAAAAACTTATATTTTTAGGTGAATGTACGAATTAAAATGATAACTCATTCCGTCAATGTAAATATATACATACGAGATTTCGATCAAATTTAATTCAAGATTTTGTGACGCACAATTTTTAGAACCAATTCTTAAAACCCTTGTGAATTTGTAAATATATGAAGTAAATGAAGTAAATGAAGTAACGTCTTATGATGCGCATATAGTAATTGCATGATGTGTATATAAGCTTGGAGGCGATAGCTTAAGAATCGTTAGAATTTCCTCTCCATCACGTGTGATTAATTGCTACTTGAGTCGAGTCGAGCGTATCGCACTTTACCACATCAAAAAAAAGAAGAAAAAAAAAAAGTACATAGCACAGCCGTGTGGGCTGATGCTGATGCCGTTGGACAATCGGCGCTACACTCACGTTAAAAATATCGTCGAAGAGCGTTGAGGTCTTGTACTTGGGGAAGGTCCCGGTGCCGCTGGCGCTGGTACCGGCCGTGGCCCTTGTAAAAATGCCCTGGTGGTTTTGAGGCTGCCAGTCCGGTGGTCCACGTTCGGGCTGTTGGGTCAGTGGACTCGACCGTGTTGTTGCTTCTGCATGATCGGGAGGAGAGGCAATGGCATTGTAAGAAGTCTTGCTCGCGGCAGGACCGACGCGCTCGTGCAGTCGTTTCCGAAAGTACCAGCGTGCCGGGTGCTTGATCCTTTCGGCCTCTTCACCTCCTATCACCCGCCCAGCCTTTTTGTTACTTTATTATAGCTAGCTTTGTATGTACAGCCGAGGAGAGAGGCTTCTTTTATTCCTTTCTCGGGAATCTTAACGTATGGCTATTCGGGGGATAAATTATTGCAAGCGTGAAGGAGGTAGGGAAGGCTTTTGTTGCCAGAGCTAAATAAAGAGATACGGAGGGATGGCTGAATTTGTTTGTTTCATGAGAAATGAATTTGTAGAGTCTGAAGGAACAATGTTGCCGAGGTTTTTTTTTCTTTCTTTCTTTTTTTTTTTTTTTTTATCTTTTTATGCCATTATCCTTGTGCCGCTCGAGTCACGAAATCTCTCTGTGCTACGACATACTATTTCATCCTCTTTATAGTTGTACAATTCACTTTATTCGGGACTTTTGGTCTGCATCAATGTTTCTTCGTTCTCTTTCAACTAAAAGGTTGATTTGCGGTCAACATTTTAAAAGTTCCCCCGTTAGTCAGTGACAGCACTCTATCGTCAGTTTTTAATAATGCTTTGTATATATTGTTAAAGTAATTATGTACAATTCTTTATTATTAAATATTAACAATCTTAATATTTACAATAAGTAGAATGTTAGAATTATAGTGTTTTGTGCAAAATATTGAAAAAAAAAAAATCAGTCTATCGAAGAAAAGAATTATTGAAAATTACGAAACAACTATATTGTAATTAAGACTCGATAATTATTTTAATGATAATATATGGCTTAAATCTTTTATCCGTCTATTTTTAATACGTCTAATTGCCAAAATATGTTTTCATATATTCAATTAAATATCATATATTTAATCTAAATTTACTTCTCAATCAATAGTTTAAAAGTAAATTTTTTTTTTTCAACATTCTACCTTACACCTTTTGTAATTAAAATTTCTATTGGCTTTATAATAGAAATTTAGTCATTTAATGTAATATTAGTAAATATATTAAGCTTCCATTTTTTTAATATCTCATGCATATAAAATTGTATAAAAATTAGAAAAGCGTTATAATTTCGATTTAATTACCATCCATATTTTTTTAATACCGCATTCAAAATAAATATTGTCTTTGCAAGGTTTGATTATTTAGATGTGAAACAAGAATTAAGACTAATAAAAAGCATCATATGTGATGAAAAATTTATAAAAATAAAAACAATCTTAATGAAGTAATTGTCATGCTTGGTTTCCTTGGATTACAAAAAAAAAATTTTTATAAATCAAATGTTTGTTTCATTATTCTTTTTTTTTACACAATAATGTAAAATGATGAATTTATATATATATATATATATATTTATATATATTTATATATATAT